GCCTCCTCCTGACTCCCAGGATAGGTGGTGTTAGAATCGCAGCCAGGGCCAAGCCTGGATGCAAAGTCAGCGTTTCTCGGGCAGCTGTGCTGGATGTGTCTACTGAGCCTGGATCTGAACTCGTGCATAGAAACACTCCTTGCCAGGTTTTGATCTGACACCCTTCGGAAGTGGTGACCGGCCAGTGGAGTTCAATGTCATAGGCAAGCCTACTGTCCACAGCTGCAGTTTCCAGGGTTTGCGTTAGGAATATTCAGTGCAGAACTGAGACTCAGCCTGTACAAATGGAGAAATGGAAACCAAAAAGTCCTTCCTTCTTTTGGTGCCTAGTCCGTTGGACCATTTCCGCCTTAGCTGGCAGGGTGGTGCTCAACAGAACATGCTATTTGGTGGGATTAAAAATTTTTAATTTATTTTAAAAAATTGAAATATAATTCATATACCATAAAATTCATCCTTTTGAAATATACAATTCAGCAGTTTTTAGTCTATTCACAAGGTTGTGCAACCATCTTCTTCTTGTTAGCTGCCGTCGAGTCAGCCCCTGATTCATGGCGACCCCATGCACAACACCACTGTGATCCATAGGGTTTTCATTGGCTGATTTTCGGGGGTAGATTGCCAGGCCTTTCTTCCTAGTCTGTGTTAGTCTAGAAGCTCTGCTGAAACCTGTTCAGCATCATAGCAGCACGCAAGCCTCCACTGACAGATGGGCGTGGCTGCGCTTAAGATGCACTGTCTGGGAATCGAACCCAGGGTTGGATAACATCCATGGTACGTCCCGTGAATTAAGGCAAGAATTCTCCCACTGAACCACCACAGCCATCACCACTATTTAATTCCAGGATGGTGGAGTTTAATTTTGACTTGAATCTTAGAAAGAAATGTCAGCCAAAGATCAACTCTGATCCTCAGGAAACTTGTTTGAAAACTTTGGTCCCTTTTACAAGAGAAGCTGCAGTTTTGGGTCAAGTATCATTAAAAAAATATGGATTAATAAGAGTCAGAGGACATTGCATTTTTCTTAGACTTATTGCTTGATTTCTTTTTGTCTGCTACTGATGATTTTTAAATCTTCAATCTTCAGATTGGGGCTAATTATTACCATGGCTTTGTTATAATAAAATATGTTCAAAGCAAAGGCACTAAGAGTGTTCTTTGCTCTTGTCTCCTTCTTCTCTGTCAAGCTAAGCTTCATTAGGGCAGGGCCTGTCCCTGTCACCTAGCACAGGGCCTGCCATACAGTAGGGGCTCAGTGAACATTTGCTGAATAAATGGGCAGTGTTGCGTTCCCAAGGAGGTCATTTTTGGCGTGTGCCACTCCAGGTAGTTCATGGTGATCGTAGTACTTTATTTAGCTTGTAGATGGCCAAGGAATTCTTTCATACCTTTGAGATACAACTACTTCTAGAAATTAAGAGCTTGACTTTTCTAGTTCTAGGGACAGAACCTACAAGGACCCCTTTGCCCCTATAGCTCTCAGGAACTCTCTTCCAATTTTAAACTGGATTTGTAGAGCTGTCTTGTGTTGGGTGGGGACATTTTGTGTGAACAGTGTGTGTCTGTGAGCGTGCACACGTGTGCACGTGCATGCTCGCCTAAACACATGAGGGAACTGTGAGGAATTCCTTCGTGTTTGTATAAATTGCCCCTTTCTTCTTTCTGCCCTTGTGGTTTGTTGGTAGTCCAGGGTGCAGAGGGGCCTCCAGGCTGGGTGCATGGCCCAGGCATGCTGGCATTCAGTGGCCTGTTGTTTCCTGCCCCTTATGTGCATGGACAGAGTGCTGGGGCTCACACAGCTGTTTTCTTGGGAACCATTGTTTGTCTTTGCAGCAGCAGCGGTAGCAGCAGCAAAAGCCTGAGGCAGCACATTCAGCATTGGATAGCCGTTCTGTCTTACAGCTGCAGGCCCGAGGGCAGGGAAGGCTAAAGTCTCTCCAGTGTCCCTGTAAATGCTCTGAGGTGCGAGCAAGGGAGGCTTCTCCTTCAGGGAGGTCGGGGCAGGACAGGATGCTCAGTGGTGTCATATCACAAATAAGCCACAGTGGCAGGTGGTATCTATTAGCGGAGACTTCTTTTCCTAGCTCAGGGGTGGGGCTATCCCTTCCTCACTTTCCCCGTCCTCTGGGCTTGCTGGCAGACGTCAGGGCCAGGGCGTGCTCATAGTATAAGAAAAGCACTTCCTCCAGAGCTGCCCTGTAGAGGGATCTAGGAAGCCGGGAAGGGATCCAGCCCGGGTGTGGGCTAGCTGAAACATGGGCTAGCCCATGAGTCAGTGGGCTGGTCCAAACTTGACTCTGAGGGACTGAATCACCTCTCAGCTGCAAGGTGAAGGGGAAGTTCCAGTGGCTATGATATACTCAGAAATACGTCCAGAAACTCCAGACTGGTGTTCTGTTTCTCTTGTTTTCCTGCCTCCACTATCAGCCACTTTGAGAAGCCAGGCAAATCTTAATTCGGCTTTAGCTCTACATTTACCTCAGCTTTTGGTAAATTACATAACCCATCCTACTTCAATTTTCTTATCTGCGCAGTCGGGATGACTGGAGATCCCTTATAGGCTATTTGTGAGGATTAAATGAGATGATGTGTATAAAGGCCCATAGAAGGTGTTAGGTGAACATGTGCTCCCTTCCCTTCAGGGTGGGATGCAGTAGGTGCTGTGCTGCCCCCTCAGTGAGGCACCCGGGAAAGTGCGAGCGAAGTCTGAGCGTGCTGGCTGGTTGTGCTCTGCGGCTTCTGAGATGAATTCATGGACCTCAGAGGCCTCCTGTGAAGTGCTTTTCCTTGGACAGGACAACCCTGGAGTGGCCTACGTCTAGAACTTCACAGGCATCATGGGGATTGCCTAGCCTTCTTTTTCTTTTTTTTTTCATACGAGCGTGGGGTTTCATCCAATCTTGTGTGTTCTCTTTTGCTACCCTGGCCATCGAGATTATTGAGGCCAAATCGTAAATGAGTTTCAGGTGACTTGGAGGGCGCCGAAGGATGCAGTGGCGTCCATATCCACTTGCACATCTGTTACAGACTGAGTCACTGGTGAGCCTTTCAGCCCTATGAGGCCTCAATCCTTATTTAGTGGGTAAGTTCTAAGTAATACCAAAGAGCGCTGAACGCCCTCTCCACTCACAGCCTGCCTGCACAGTGACTACTGCTGGCAGCTTTTCACTAATAGATAGAAGGGGGACAGATGCCTCCAGGAACGCACTCAGCCAGGGCTATTGCCTTTAAGAAGCACAGAAATCCTTGGCTCTAGGAACTGGATGCCTGATGTGACCTCTGCAGATCTTTTCCCCCCAACACCCTTGTAATCAGACTCTGCCAACACAGAACAAGAGAGCTTTGATGAGCGATGAGGTAGGCAGCTTTTCTGCACAGTCTTCTGTCTGCTTGCAACAATCCGACAGGGCTCAGTTTCAGTTCAGGTGAGGTCACTACAGGGCTGGTTCGCATTGGTGGTTGGTGAGGGGGAGGTGCAGGGATGAAGAAGGTGAGAACTGCATTTACAGGTCACCTAAGATCACCCACAAAGGACCAAATACTTGGGCTGCAGACTGATACCTGTAAAAACAGAAATACAAACAAAGATGGGGATAGATTATAGACCCCCAACTACTCCAAGGCAAAGCTAAATGCACCATTTACACACCCCTCTTTGCTTCATAAAAGGAGTGGTTAGCAAACCTTTGAACACCATAGCCCCAGTCCTGGATTTGCTTCTGATTTATCCACTCCTTGGATGAAACACTTGCATTACATAGCATAGACAGAATGTGCTGTTGTAAGTGTACTATCTGGGAGTGAATGTGGAGCACGCATAAAGAAAGGCAGAATATAGCTGCTTGTTTTCCCATCCTAATGCACTTGGAATTGTGCAGGTTTGCAGAGGAAGGGAATGAAAGAAATGGCTCTGTTCTGACTCAGATGGCGATTGGGACGTAACTTCTGTAGAGTACACATTGCAGACCTTCTCTGAGCTGAAAAGCATCTGGCTTTGGCAAGCTGCTTTCTGTGGGTGCCAGGTCTGCCTGCTACACTCCTGTCTGATTGGTGTTTCTTGTCAGTAACAAATGCAGTATTGCTTTTGAGGCTGATCTGGTTGCATTATGGAGCTGCTATGGCTGCAGTTCCAGAGAAGAGGGGTTTGCTAGCTCTGTATGAGGGCTCTGGCCCTCCAGAAATCTGCCCAGTTAGAGTGTACCCAGAAATGTTTCTAACTTTGATATAGTGGAAGCTCTGAGGCATTGGTGAGGATGAAGCAACAGAGAGATGAGTGATAATTGCTGGTGAAAAATCTCTTTCTAAGTCAGCCTTTTGAAGATTGATTCACATTCTGTGATCCTGGAAACTATGGAATCTGAGTTACAGTGAGTGTGTTGTTTGGCTAGAATCTGGGAGCTTGTTTCATTCTTGATTGCTACCATTTGACCTTGGGCAAGTTCTTTGCTACCTCTGTTAAAATATCCTGACCCTCACCCTACTTTGTGAAGATGCTGAAAACCTTTATGAAATGGTGAGAGGAAGTATTATAGACGGGAGCATGGGCTCCAAAATCAGCCTACCTGGGTTAGAATCCCAGCTCCACGACTTAATAGCTTGACTTCAAGACTCAGTTTTCTCATCTTTAAAATGAGGATGAAAGTAGCACCTACCTCATAGGGTGGTTGGGAGATAATTCATATGGACTTTCAGTACTGTGCCAGAAACACAGTAAGTTGCTCAATAAATGGTAGCTATGAATATGTCTAATAAGCAGTTTCTCTTAAATGATGGAACAGATTCCTGGTTCACAGTATTCCTCATTAGTTTGAAAAAAGTTCGTAGACTTTTTGGAGGTACCCCACACCATATGGCCAGTTTAGGATTTAAGCTTTTTTATTAAGGCCTTTGAGTTCCCCAGGGGACAGGGAACGACTGAATGGAAGGGGAGTGGATATTGGCATGTATGGTTGTTGGTTTAGGGATCTCCCTCTGACCGTCTTCCCTTGTTTTTGCTGCAGAGATCCGCGCTCAGCTCACAGAGCAGATGAAATGCCTGGACCAGCAGTGTGAGCTCCGGGTGCAGCTGCTACAAGACCTCCAGGACTTCTTCCGAAAGAAGGCTGAGATCGAGATGGACTACTCTCGCAACCTGGAGAAGCTGGCCGAGCGCTTCCTGGCCAAGACACGCAGCACTAAGGACCAACAGTTCAAGTAGGGACCTCTGGCTGTTCCTCGTAGAGGTCTTGGGAGCAGGGTCAGGTTTAGGGAGGCAAGGTGGGCCACCTAGATCCAGCTGAATTATTGAGCCAGATAAGCCAGTGACTTCAAATGGCTGAGGGTACTCAAGGACTGCTCCTCTTCCAGATCAGTCTAACATGCAGTTCAATATCCTGGAAAGACCAAAATAGATGATGAACCACACTAATGATCAGCAAACACTTTTTAATCTCTTCCTATGTGCCAAGCATGGTTCCAAGTGCTTTATGTTAACTCTTTTAATCCCTAAACAGCTCCATATGTTAGTTACTGTTATTATCGCCAGTTTACAGATGAGCAAACTGAGGCATAAAGAGCTTAAGGAACTTCCCCAAGGTCACACACATGCCTAGTAAATAGAAGAGCTGGAATTCAAATGCAGGCAGTCTAGCTCCAGAGTCTGTGCACTTAACTGTTTCACCAAACTGTCTTTAACCAGAAGAAATGAATGATGTAGCCATACATCTAAATCCCTGCCCAGGCAGTCACTAAAACATTTACAATATTTTATGCGTCTGGGCCGTTCACTCTGTTCCCGTTGCCAGTGCCCTAGTTTAGATCATCATCATCTTTTGCCTAGATGACTGCAATACTTAACTATATCATCTATTGCAGAGATTCTCAACCCTGGCTGCAGATTAGAATCCTCAGGAGAACTTTTTAAAAATACTGAAATCTGGGCCCCACTCCAGACCAATTAAATCAGAATCTCTGGGAATGGGGCCTGGGTAATGTACAGTGTAAAAGCTTCCCAGGTGATTCTAATGAACAGCCAAAGCTGAGGACCACAGTCTGCAGCTTCTCCCCATTCCGCTCTGCCTGATACACTGTTATCAGATTACATCTTTCTGGAGCACACTAGTGATCAGGCAGTTTCTGTGGGTAGAACTTTCAGTGACTCCTCATTCCTATGTTCTTCACATTCAGGATGTGGTCGCCCAGCATTGGTAGCACCTGGGATGTTAGAAATGCAGAGTCTCAGGCCCCACCCCAGACCTACTGTAACAAGATCCCAAGGTGATTGGTGTGCACATTAATGTTTGAGAAGCACTTCTCTACTCACAAAGGTGCAGACTTCTTGGCTTGGTCTTCAGGTCCCTCTACATCTGTCCCTAACCTGCTTTCCAATCTTATTTCCTCTAGCCAGACAGAACATTCACCCCAATGAACTTTTGCTCATCCTGTTATTTGAGCTCATGCACCCGTTCTTCACATCTCTGCATATCTAAGCCATACCCATGTTTTAAGATCTGTCTTAGATGCTACCTGTTCCAACTTTCTTGCTATCCCCAGGAGAATGTTTTCCCTCTTCTGAATTCTTACAGCATTTTATTTGTTCTTCTCTTAGCGTGTTCGGCACTGTCTTCCTCGTATTATCTTCCCTTAGTGGGCTGTATAAGCTTGTCTGATTTGTCTTCCAATGCCAGGATTAATATGTGGCATATAGTAGTTGCTCAGTAAAAATTCTTGAATGAGTAAATGAATGAATGCATTTAAGAATTAATACCAAATGAATCACTTTTCTCTATTTTCTATTTTTCTTTATTGCCCTGATAATATAGGACATAAATTATCCTTTACATGTCAGCTCTAAGGAATGAATATGGAGGTTAAGATTGAGGAGAACGTATGACTCACTATAAGCCAGTATGAGAATTTCCTCCAGATGTTTTCTCCTTAGAATCCCTTATCTTTCCCAAGTCCTAGTCTCTTTATAAGCAATCCTGACATAATAAAATGTTATTATAGTATTTGATAAATGGGGACTCAGGGGAGGAATAATTCACTTTAGAAAAATGATTCAAAGTTGGATTTATTCTGTTGGTAACCTCCTCCTAAGTTTAAAATAGCATTTGATTTTTAGTACAATACCATATTCTCATTTTAAGAGGCATATCTATTACAAATTGAAATACAAATGTGCTAATCTCTGAGTCATCTGAATCGCTCTGATTAAGATCACATATGAGGAATAGGGTGTATTCTCCAAGGATGGAAGAATTGATTTCACTTTTGATAAACTTGGCCCCCAGCTCCATTTTTTTCCCAAACAACCACTGAGTATTTATTGCTCAAGATTGTACAAAGTGTTGGAACATACAAGAGAAGTTCATTGCTTGTATCCATAGAGATTCAAATCTGGTTGGGAAGAAAATATTTGAATAAAGAGATGATTAGAGGATAAAGCAATAGTGATCTCATTAAGAGATCACTGGTGTTAAATAGATGTGATGAGAGATCAGTGGTAAATCATCAGAGATAGATGAAGAGTCTGGAACAGGAAAGTTTTCATGAAGTCAGTGGGACTTAGGTTGGACGTAAGGGTAGAGTTTGTGTACGAGAGGAGAGAACAGCATGTGCGTGTTGAGAGGAGGCAGGAGTATTTGGAGGTGGGGAGTGAATGGGCTAGTCAGCAATCCAGCTTCATTAAAGGGAAAGTTCTTCACAGTCATTCAACAAATATCCGTTGCACATTCCTTGTAATCCTTTGGGACAGACATTGTGCCTGGGGATACGGCAGTGAACAAGTACTGCCTCTTCCATGTGGCACTGACAATAGAATGAAGAAACAGACATTAAACAAAACACATTTGAAGTTGAGCTAAATACTGTGAAAGGACAGTACAAGGTGCTCCAGGAACCTGTAAGAGGGGGTTGTCTCCACTCCTTTAGCCATCACTTAGTGGCTAGTTTACTCCATCAGCTACCTGTGTTCCTGAGCAACAGCCTACTTACTTAACAAACCTTTGTTAAATCCCTACTGGGGATTGGGCTCTGTGCTGATTCCTGTGGAGACTAAGATAAGCTCTGGGAGTTATCTTCTGGGCCAATGGGGAAGAGAGACATGTAAACAATATAATGTGAAAAGGGCTTTCATAGAGGTAAGAGCAAAATATTATGAGAGCACAGATATTTTCCACAGCAGTGGGAAGTATGATTAGATCAGTAGAGTAGGCCCCAGAATGATGGCTCTTTGACAGTCAAGCAGAGGAGTTCAGATTTAATGCCGCAGCGTGGTAGTGAGCTACGTGGGTTCTGTGTGGGGAAAGAAATGTGAGCAAAAAATGTGATAGAAGAATGAATTTTTATGCCAGAGAAGGCCAGGATGAGAGCTTTTAGAGTAATCCATGCATGATGTGATAGCAAAAAATATAGAGGAAGGAATAGATTCAGGAGGTATTTAAGAAACTGGACAGGACTGGATAGCAGATTGGGTAAAGAGCTATAATGGTCAGAGGTGACTCAGTGCCTCTAACCTGACAAATTGGAACAATTGTGGCATCTGTGATGGCAACAGGAGTGTTGAGGGAAGACCTATATTGAACAGTAAGCCTGCTTTGGGGATGCTGCGTCATGGAGGCCTTCAACTACTGTATCCAGTTGGAGATGTACTATTGAGGTAAGAAGTTATGTACTGCTGAGGTAAGAAGCAGAGTCTTCAGTTCAAAAGTGATTTTGGAGGATTTGAAACTATATGGACTCAGGGAAGAGAAAGAGAAGCATAAAGAGCTAAGTCCAGGACCCAAGACTTGGGAGACACCCAGTGTTAGGGGGTAAGAGAAGCAAAAGGTACTAGAAGGAGGGTGGCAGTGGGGGGGAAGAGGAAGAGAGGGAGGAAGAGGAAGAAAGAGTTGTTTTTTGTTTTTAAAGCAGTTAAAAGGATAGAAAGTAAGGTAAGATAGTGTAGTCTGATGGAACTAGAAGTGTTTCAGGTAGCAAGATCTGTAAAAGTTAATCCAAGCAATTTCTTTTTAATACCTTCCCATGCATAAGACATTGCAAGATATGCAAAGATGACTAAGAGAGCTCCAAATCTAAGACCTTTCAACCTGTTAGAGTAAAATATATGAAAGTGCTGTTTTTATAGGTTAGAAATTGTTGCATAGAAGCAATTTCTTGTGGTACAGCCTAACAGACAAGGAGACATACACACAAATGCCTTTAATATGGGGAAGACAGCGAGAAGCTCACCAGGAGAGCCAGACAACGTCCTGTATTTTCATACATATCTGTGTCCTTTCATACATAATTTATTCCTAAAAATGCATATGAAAGGCAAATGGTTAAAAGTCAGATTTATGTAGGGTAGGTGGTTTCTGTTACTATAAGTATGTATGTGAAATTCTGAATTATGCCTTTACCTGGTATACTTTCAGCATTTATTACCTTTTCTTTAATTTTCTTCTTTTCTCCACAATTAAACCCACAGTCTACCTGCTTAAGTCCAGTAAGCATCTGATTGAGGTACAAGAGTCCACATGGCTGATGATTTCTACCTTTGTCTTCCTAATACAATGGTGTGATCTCTACTTCTCAATACAACATTAGTAATAGCGCTTTCATTTTTCCATTTTCCATTGATTTTTATGTTGCAAGAGGTAATCACGGATTCAAATATTTGCATGCACAAGCACTGCTGTACAAAGACAACCGTGTTCCTGAAACTGAACTGTACTTGGCAGGCGGCACCACCAGGCCTAGCTAGAAACATTTGTGAGCAATTGAAAAATCTACATTTTGGCACAGGAAAGGCATTTTAGACATGTCTGTTTTGGTTGGATATAGGTTTGGCTGCTGTAAATAGACTCCAAATAATAGTGGCTTATACAGGATAGGGATTGATTTCTCTCTTGTGTAACAGTCTGGGCATTAGCCATTCACGCCTGTGTCAGGGACTGAGGCTCTTCGTTCCATCCCTAGAGTGTTGCCCTTGTCTGTATGGCCCAGAATGGCTCACTGCCGCCATATCCCTGTTCTAGCCAGCAGGAAAGGCAAAAGGGCAAGGGAAGGGTATGGCCTTATTCTTTAAAGGTGCAGTCTGGAAGTGGCACTTACATCTCTTCAGCTCACATCCCACTGGCCAGAACATAGTCACATGGCTATCCCAGGCTGCAAGAAAGACTGGGAAATGTAGTTATTATTCTGGGTGACCAGAAAGTAACATTTCTATTAAT